ACAGCCGCACGCCCCAGCGCAGGGGCTGAATCCAAGCAGCCGCTCGCGGCTGTGCCCACGTCCTCTCCCATGGGCACGACCCAAGTCCCCGCAGGGACCCCGCGTTAGCTGGGACCCCGCGGTGACGGAGGCTGGAATGAGCTCTGGGTCGCACCCGGGTTGTTTATCTCGTCTGTGAGAGCAGATGTCTCACACGCGTCCAGTGCCCTCCCTGTGATGTTCTGTGTCGCGTAACGCTCCCACCCCGCTGGCGCTGGACGCAAGGACATCACTCAGCACTGCGGACGAGGTCTCGCAGGCTTTACAGGACCCTGCTCGTAGAGGATGGTTATTTCTCTGCACTCCCGTTGCAGATATCCTCCGAGTTCGTCCCCAGGGCTCGAGCGTCATCATGCTGGCAGCTTAAAGAAACACTTCCCAAGGTCTTGAAGTGCTTGGGACCCCATCACGTTGCAGAGCTGGCTGAAGAAAAGGTTTCTCAGATAAAATCCCAGGGAGGTGGGAATGAGCCTGGATCCTGTTTGTCCAGGTCAGCCCATCTGAAGGACTGGGATCCCGCCGTCACGCCAAACTCTCCTCCCACACCAGGCTGAACGCTGCGTGACCACGAGCTAAAAAGAACTGCGAGTCTAATTCTACCTTGTGCCACCTCATTGCAGTATGCAGATCAGATTTTCTTTTCTAAAGGTAGAAAAGGAAAAATAATGAACAGGAGCAAAGTTTGCAACACCCAGGAAGCTCCTGAGCGCCGATTCGGGAGATAAACACTGCCAAGTGTAATGTGCTGCTTCAGAAGGGGCAAACCTCTTCATCTTCTCAAGCACTCAAGACTTCTCAACAAGACAGATGATGCAATGAAGTGTCACTTCAGGCAGTCAGTCATCCTTCAAGCAGCCCCTGAACGTACTTGTGGGAACCACTGAGCAGTCCTTGTGAAGATTTCCGTGACGACCCCGAGGTGCGTGCGAGGAACCGGGAGGACGCTGCTGACGTGAGCCCTCCCGCACGCTCTCCTGCCCGCACACGCTGCCGCCACGGGCTCTCCTGCCAGCCCTCTCCCCCCAGGGCTCGGGTGATCAGCTTATCCCGGGGACAGGTCAGCTTATCCCAGGGACAGGTCAGCTTACCCCGGGGACCAGGTCTGCGCCGGTGCAGGCATCGTTTCTCCATGCCCTGGGCTGCTGCCAGGCTGGGTGCCCGCGCGCAGGGAGCGGCCACGGCTGC